TTTAATATTTTCATATCTAAACTGTGTCCGATTGGTTTCTTTATTGAAGTCGATTGGATGTGACTTTGTCGATATCGAGTCATTTCATTTTTCAAATTTTCATAAGCAATATCAAATCCAAGTTTAGGAAAATCGATATAGATCTTTCCACTTGCGATAATTCCCAGCCATCCATCTGGTCGATAACCTAGTTTCATTATCAATGGAATCAAATAACATCGACGTTCAAAAGCATAATGAGCTTCGGATTGACAATAGGCACTCTGTTTATATGCATCTGACATACATAAAAATACGAACTCTGAATTTTCAATAGCAGTAGCTATGGCAACCATCGTTTGTCCGTGCATTTCATACCCATCAATCCATACTAGAAAGTTATCTTTGATGAGACGATCATGAATACGATAACATAAATCCTTGTCAGTATGCGAATAGCTCAACATAATATCGTATTTCTTCATAGTAATATCAGATATTGTTGATGTTTCATTTGATTTTGTAATGGCTGCTTCTTCTTTTTCTAATTTCCACAGAAGATTTTCAGCTACTCTCTGAAACTGTGGTTCACTGTGTGAATTAAGGAACATTTTCAAATTTGAGATGAATTGAGGATTGTCTTTGAGTTGACATGCAGCATTATCATTGAATGTTAGAGCAAGAAGAATATTTAATGCTGATAGTCGAACTTTAATAGGATCAAATTTTGACTCAGTTACACAACGAAGAAGAAGAGATAAGATTCCTTGTTTTGTTAATTCTTCTTTTATTTGATCGTGTTGAACCAAGACTAAATAAGATGATCGATTAATTTTCTGTAAGAATCTTCATCGGAAGAATATGTAAAATACAATTATACATTAGAAGAAGATGAAATAGTAGCTTCAAATACTAGTATTAGTTTATGAAAAGTTTTTGTTTTTAGTTTGCTACCTTTTTTTTACCATCATTTTTAGCTCTATATGAAAGACTTTATCTAGTCGCATGTGAACGAACTAAGCAACGACAATTTGACTCTGTGATAAGTTCATGTAATAAATATAATTTAGTTTTGTACTAGTTTGAAATAATTGACTGATCAGACATTGTTTTTGAAATCTATTTAGTAGTTGAAATACTTATTTTGTTCTACTGATTTTCGATGATCAAAATCAAAATTCAACTTACTCTTGAGACTACGAAGTAAATTATGAAATCGTGGTATTCTGCTAGAATCATCGATCAGATTAATGAGAAATCTAAGAAAGACATTAGCGATTTTAGTCGAATTTTGTAATGTTTTCATATCTTCTTCAGTCATAATTGAAGCCAATATACGATAAATATGAAATTGTATTGTTTCGTCTTCAATATTAGCTAGTTTTAACAACAATTGAACAATGTTTTTATTTTTTATATACGTTCGTAAATCATTTGTCATCGTCAAAGAATACAAATTTTGAGCTAAAACTCTTATTAAATCTTTTGTTATTTCATCAATTGTTTCAGATTTCATTATTGTATTCAATATGGAAGATATTTGATCGATCATTGTGCAATAACCTTCACGAATTGATTGAGAAAAAACTTCTTCATCGTTAGCATTTCCACCAATTAATGTAATACAAAGTTGACCAATGACTTTAATTGTTATTCTACTTAATTGGTGAAAAGATAAAAGCTGATTTTGAAACCAACTATTAAAACTATTTAATAGAGCAGTTCGGACGGCTATACAAGTGTCATTATAATGATCACCATTATGCCAAGAAATGTAATTAGTACAAGTATCGAGTAAAAATGTTTGTGCTTCATTGAATTTTTCGAGTTCAGCTATCTGTTTAAACATATCAAGGAAATAATTTGAGCATACACAATCAACAACACTATCGAGTAGTTTAGATAACAGCGGTATACTCTGAATATCTTTTCGACCTTTCTGAAGATAATGAATAGATCGAAGAATATAATCAATTGCTTCTACTTGTTGATCCTGCAAATGTTTACCATTTGTAGCGATGTCCTTGAGACATGTACGAATTTCATTAATAAAAGATTCATGAATTAACAGTTGTTTCAATTGATCAACATCATCATCGGCAGCATTAAAGCACAATTCAGCAAATAGAATAGCTATTTGAGTGAAAATTTGACTAGAAATTGGATCAAGTACTTGACCAATTCGCCATTGACGCAGAATATCAAGATAATAATCACGAATAAATAAAAATAGTTGATGATCAATAAGTTTCGCTTGGTAGAATGCTTGATCGTTTTTTATACGAAATGAAATAGATGAAACAATTTGTTGTACTATTGTGACGTCATTCTTCACTTTGTCGCGATTAAGTTCAATAATGATGTTGTCCATACAATTTTTCAATTGATCATTGGTGGAAGATATTCCTTTTTCTTTGATGAGAGTACAGTGTTCTTGAATAACAGTAGATATTTCCATCACAGAGAATAAATGATAATTCTAGTCAACAAGAGAAGAACTCTTTTGACTGCAAAATTACAAAATATTATTGTTGAATTCTGAAGAACGAAAGCATAAGAAAAAGACCCATTAATTCTCTTCTCATGTGCTTCATTCTGCTGTAACATGAAAGGCGTGTTGTTGTTCTATTTGTACAGTGAGAGGTAAATATTACATTGCCATGGTGGTGACAACCTGTAGAAAGCAATGCGTATGAGTGCACACTTCATGACGAAGTATGGCAATAGTAAGAGAAAGGTGTAGATGATGAGAGAATTCTTCAATACAGTCATGCCGACAGCCTGACGATAAAAAATTGTGTATGAATTAAACATATTGATTTTGAATAAATCTTAAGAAATACTGAGTATTATATAGAAAAATATAGTATATAGAATTCAGTTCTAGACTTCAACGAGATAACCTTTTTATAGGTGCATGGTTTAAAAAGAAATTTAAATCTTACACCGACCTAAAAAAAAACTGTTGTGAGCATAGAGCTGAAATGTTATATTCTCTGACATTGTCTATAATATTAGAAACACTTTCCTATTATACTTGAACTCATTTAGTCGTTAATATCGTTGTTGTTAGAAGCTCAATAAGACATGTACGAGACCAGTTATTTTAGTTTCAGTGCCACTTTGTCCATATTCAGTGAGTTCTCACTTTCATCTCGAATTTTGTACGCCGAGTTTGATTGTTTTATGTGCAATTTCATCGACAAAATTTTAATATCATACGATTGTGTCACTATTCTCGAATTAATTGTAATAAAAAATAATTTCTCATATACATGTTATATACCATACGCTAAGAGACAGTCATTTTATTTATCTAATGAAAATAAAAATCATTTACTTAATTTTAGTAAATGATAACAAATAGTACATATGATAGTTCTATCTCATATTTTCATTACTGATTATTAATCAGCATAGATTTTAAAAGTAATTCTCATCAATTAAACTATCAATATCTTTTAAAACTCTTTAATCTAAATGATTGACTGAACGATTATTATATGATAATTTATGTGTTAATGTCAATATATCACGTTTATCATTGAACCGAATTAACGGTCTCCAACAAAAGCTAAAAGACAATTATAATTATAAAAAAATTATTGTGATGTTAATTTTTCTCATAGATGAATATTCTATGAAGAAAATATTTTTAAGACGAAAATTGATTTAAAAGAAAAGACAAATATTTACTTTTTTGTATTATTATGTAGCGAGTTAGAGTTGTGCAACTCAGAAGCACTCACAATAAAGCGGGAACACGAATATAAGCGAATAATAAACTGACACACTGTATTTACTATTGGTAGTGCTTCTTAATACATATTTTTTCTCATAACTGGTACTAATCAGATAAAGGGACTGGATCAGAGAATAATGTATATATTAGAGGAATGTAAAATGTCGTATACAATGAGATGGAAAAGAAACCAGAGGAGACTGTGTGTTTATGAATAGAAGCCTAAAATCTGCACCCACATCCTATGCAAACAAATTAGAGTTATCCTTGTTTTTTGGTGAACATGAAACATAGTATTTTGATACCGTAGTCTATCACATCCATAAGAATAACCGCGAGTATAGCGGGTTCAGAATGATGAAAAATGAATACTTCTATTAAATCATAATGAATATTCGAGCCTTTGAATTAAAGATCGAAGTTCTTCATCTCATCATCATCGAAAAAGTTCTCATCTTTCAAACAAAGTTTGATGATTGGTCATAACATTCAGTGAAGAAAATTTGTCGGCGCTCTTTTATTTTTAAATAGATAATTGTTGAAAATAGTTATCAACGATTGAAGTAATTATTGATTTTTGATCAAAATCGATTATGACTTTTATGCAGTGTTTCTTTGAAATTGATTTATCACAATTTTTTACTTTAACTACTTTTCAAACAAAGAAAATCAACAGAATGACATTAACAGTCTCTTGGAAATGAAGTTTCAGTTGAGAATCATTGATATGATTTCAATGATGAAATAAAATATATTTTTAGAAAAGTAAACGATCGATATTTTAAGAAACGTTTGATTAAGTTTCCTTCACTTTAATTTTCATTATATCAACTAGGTACATATTCGAAATGAGAGAAAGTTGTTGAGAAAAACTTTGTGACAGAGAAAATAATCGAATTTCTCACAGTAATCTTTCAAAGAAATAAAATATATCGTTTTCTATTTGATTATGAAGAATCTTGACTCAACAATATTTAACAAATTTTGATCAGTTCGTCGTTTGATATTAATTTAAAAGACATTGAGAATTTCAGAAGATCTTCTTGTTTTTCTTAGATCCTCTCAAAGATGACATTGCTATATGGAACATGAATGCAGTTCAAGTCCTTTAAACTGAAAAGAATAATTTCTCTATCTAATCTGCATAGATAGCGAAACAATCATCAGTAAGTCCGAATCGGTTTTCGCTAATAAATTCAATAGAGTCATAAGAAAGTTCGATAGCTGGAAAAAAAAATCTTGAAAATCAAATTCTTGTTCTTTCTACTTCATTCGAAATCCTACACATTGTTTTCTTTTTCACACTGTTCTTTGAATATATTGATAATTCTTCATCTGATATATTTATCTGTTCTTTCATTAAGTTTTCAAAAAATAATTTGACTACAATGAAAATACCTTAAATTGACGGATACACCAAGAATTCGCATTTTCTTTTTGTTACTTTTTTTTCTGTTTTCAAGTTATAATGCTTTGTCTTCAGTCTAAAAGCTCTGGATGATAGAGAATGTGAAATATTACGATGACATACAATTACTTGTTTAAAAAATTTATTTTTATTCTGATAATAAGTTTCGTATAAAAATGATAATCTTTTCTGTTTCGGTAACTATCGAAGAAATGTCGTCAATGAATTGTTTTTTATGAGGAAATTGTTCGTCGAGAAACATTATTTTAATTTTGATAATGTAAAATTCAGCTGATTCAGATCGAGTGCTTCGACTAGCTGTTGATGGCGAGGTTTTAGAATCTCACAAAGATGAATTCCATGAAGACTATCAACTAATTTGAGACTAATGACGAGATGAAAGAGAACTTCGTTTTGGTCTTTAAAATATGAATATGTACGAATGAATTTTTTACTTTTCCTAACAAAGAAGACTATTGTTTATATATCTGATTCACCTAATTAAGATGAATAATCAAGAATACAAATTGAAAATGAACAAGAATTGTCACTCATCACATATGCTCTTTCCTTCGAGTAAAACAAGATTGAAATCTTCTGAAACACCTCGTAGAACGATTTGATATTTAGTTGACTTGATCTGGGCTAAAGTCATTTCAAGATATGAAATATATCGTTATTTACGATAGTTTAACAAAAATTGTGAGAGATAATTTTAAAAGAATCTGAAACAATGTCAAAGTTTTTTTCCGTATTAGTCAAGTTGAGCATTTGATTCGGAATCGCATATAAACTGTTCTCTCTCATATTCGATTTCATAGTATGCAAATAGATCTATATTGATTGATCTTCATTCAATTTATCCGCAGATTTTCTCAAATTCATTTTAACAATTTCTTAATATTAAATCTTAACGAATCACTTGAATACTTTATATAAAATTCATGTTTTTCTACTAATCACTTAAGATTAAGTTTAAATGGTTGTATTAGGCGAATACCATTTAATTTCGATTTTTTTCTCTACTTCAATAAGGATTCAGTATGGCCTTGTTCGGACTGATTAAGCAGTTAGTAAGAGATTTTCTATTAAATAGATCGAACAACACTATGCTAAGTCTGTATTGAATTAAAGAAAAACTCGAAATTTAATTATATTTGTCTAACACGATCATTGAAACTAAACATTATGTCAATTAGTTTTTAAGTAGAAAAGTTAAATTTAATATTATGTATGAGACGATTTATTGCCGTTAAATAATATGAAACGAAGTGATGCCTAACAACAAACGATGAGTGACTTCAATGGATTCAGCTATTTCTACACACGAACTATCTTACTTGCAATTTGATGAAATTTGTTGTTTAGTTCGGAAGACATGCCGTGAAAAGTGACAAGTTGTACAAATAAAAGACGCAACAAAATTAAACGACTCTCATATTTCTTTTTCTTGTGAAAGAAAAAGGCTTGCTCGTCTCGAATGCAACAAATACTAAAATTATTGTCTGGAGAGTAAAATTTGTCGATGATCGACTCACTGGAATTGAAATTATTATATGAGGGTGTCAGTGCAATAGAGCTACTATGATGTTGATAGCATTCATGAGATGGTTTGAAGAGCATGGATAATGAGAGAACAACATCTGTAGCTTTTTTCAAAAATATGATTTGTTCTGTATTCAAAAGAAAACAATTCTAATGTGTGGTATTTTGTTCGGCAGCCTTTCATTGAAAGAACGACTGATGAGAGAATTTTTGTATAACAATCGAAACGAAACAAAGCGGATCGAACAGAAAAAAAAAATGATTATCTTTCATATGGTGCTCAATGGACTATTCACTGATGATAATGTTTAAATCAGAGACAAACAGAGAAAAAGATATCAAATATAATGATAAATACGTTCGATGATATATTTTGAAACTAAGAACTGGCCAATCATATAAAACTTAAAAGCCACATCAAACAAGAAAAAGACACAGCTAAACCGTGAAGAGATGGTAAATATTTCCGCAGAGTCGAAGAAAATTGATTGATAGAAATGGCTGAGATTCAAATTTTTAATTCATATATTCGAGAATGTTTTAAAAATAGATTATTAGAAAATAAAGAACATAACTAACTAATAAACAAATTCAATTTGACATATTCTAATCAAATGAATACATTTGATAATTGAAAAAATGAGTGTATAGGTGTGGATGCGAATGAAAAGAAAAAAACAAACCGTAATCAACACTCACTTCCTCTCACACTAACATTAGCTTACAAGCGACCATATCTGCACTCATATCATCGTCGACGATTGCCATTCATCTTTGATAGCAATCTCCGACAAAAAAAAACAATTCAATCCCACATGTTTACCAAATGGAGACAAGAAGTTATGTTTTACTTTCTTCTTTCTTGATGATTGAAGTCGATTGTGCAATTTCTGCCGTGTAACTTTTTTTAATAATGTTATTTCATCACTATAACTGGCAATCATTAATAGCACATTAGTAACCGGCAACAAACGTAAGTCGCTGAATTGTCAAATCGACTTTAAAGTTCATGGCTAGCGTATCATCAAAGACAAGCACAAATTTAATTTGTCATATGTGTGATGATCAATCATGTGGAATTTTAACATGTAATGGATGCTCCAAAGCCTTCTGCTCAAAACATTCCGTCGAACACCGACGTAAATTGAGCAATTATTTCAATCATCTGACAGCTCAGGAGAAGCTTATCCAAAAAGTCATAAAACAGCAACAAGATGAGTGCCGTCACCATCCCATGTTGAAGGTAATCGATCGATGGGAAGAAGCGTCAATCGTTAAGATTAAAAAAGCTTCCTCAAATGCTCGAGCACAAGTTTTACATTACAATACAAAGAGGACTACAGAAATTGATATGCAACTTAGCCGAATCAGTGCACAAATGAGTATCAGTCGTCAAAATGATGACTACATTGAAATGAACTTGATCGAATGGAAAAACAAACTTGAGAAATTGAAAGAGATTTTAACTATATCGCCACTATCAATTAAAGTACGAGAAAATCGATCCGCCCCTCTGGTATTAATGATTGACGTGGATGCCTACTTTCACACGACAAAAGATAGAGTTACTGAGACATTTGATATTACTCGCGGTGATATTCACATTACCGAAAACGGTTCAGTAGTTACACATGGGAACAGTAATACTCACGCAACTGTCAGAGGCACCTATGAATATTCATCAGGCAAACATCAAGTTTGGATAAAAATCGAAAAATTAACTAACAAATGGATGTTCTTTGGAATTATCTCGAGTAAAGAAGGAATGCAGGAAAAAGTTCATGATTCTACTTCGATTCATGGCTGGAATGGTCACTGCCAAATTGGTGCCACTGGAGAAACAATCAAAAGTACATCTCACGATGACTATGACTGGGAGGAGAACGACATTGTTGATTTAATATTGGACTGTGATAGAAAAAAGATTCTATTGACAAATGATCGCACACAAGTCACCCGAGAGATATTTGTCAAAGTTGACAGATACCCATTCCCATGGAGACTCTTCATCTCGCTCATATACAAAGAAGATTCTGTACGAATTCTATCTTACTGAAGCATTTGATAATACGTAGTATAACGAGCACATTTTATATGATGTATTTCTCGATGGTTTGATATGTAACTGTCATCCTGATTCATTGTATTTAATTTATTTCGATTCAATTGCACATTTTGACTTCAAAACTAATGATAAGTCTGCCTTATATGTGTTGCGAACGTGCATGTGAACGTAATTCAGGGTGCTTTCTCTCTTTTCATTCACACACACACACACACTCGCACATTCACGATGGATTTCGAGCTTCCACCAAAACTTCATTAATTTCAATTGTCTTTTCCATTGTTAATAAGGTTGATCTTCCTGACCATTCACAATTTTTGACCGAATCCTTTTAGACGAATTTGTTATAGACACACTTGATGGCAACAACCGTAAAAACAACAGTCTTATCTTCTTGTGGCAACTTTTCACACATCAATAGTTTGGATTAGAAATTGACCATAAAAATAGAAATGTTGATTTTCAATTACAAACTTTGATGCACGTTTTTGTGAAAGATACTAAACTTATATCGAGTTTTTATTAGTTTGCGTACTAGTTTAATTGGAAAAAAACAACTTCTTTTAAAAAGCCAATAATAGAAAATACCATTCATTGAAAAGATGGAAGCATTAGCACGTTTGTCAGAAATGATCTATGCATGACAGAATGAAAAGTTTTATAATAAATGAATTGCAACAGATCGATTAATAGTCATAAGCTAGCTCATCGACCATTAGACTTAACACCACTGAATATCTTTTTATGGAAATATTTTAAAACAAATGTCTACAAAACAATGGTAGAAGACCTGAATGATATAAACACTAGAGTCTCAAAAGCAATTCAAATAATAAAACAAACTTTGATAGTCTGCATTTCCAAACAAAAAAAAGAAGATTAGATTATGCTTGGTTAATAATGGATTCATATATATTTATTAAGTGAACATGACTTGCAAGACTCACTGCATCCCTGAACATTTAGTATAAAAGGAGCAGGGCTTGATTTACATCGATAAGACAAAGTGAATAATGTAACTTTTTAATTATCACTAGAGCATGTCTCCTTTCAAATAATCTTCGTTTCAAGAAGTGCTTTGCACAACTGTAGAAATGATTATTTATGTTGCAGGTAGTGAGTTTCAGCATGAGTGTGTGTGTGTGTGTGTGAGAATACCAAATAATTGCATACCGTCAGAGACACATGCGCACTCACGCATATTGATGAGATAAATCAATATCAGTCATGGAAAAGTAAATGATGTTGTGATCTACTGATCTGAAGACTTCGAAGACATAGAATCTAGGGGTGCACTAGTTCCAATTCTAACCGATTCTAATTGTAATGATAGGCGTGGTATTGGTTGAAATTGGCATTGACTAAGTGTTGAAATTTAGATATATACAGGCAGCTTCTTTAGTAGTTACTGGATAGCTGGGTAACGGGAAACTTTGGATTTAGTTCTTTTGTTAAAGAGATTCTTTTTTAGGAAGGATATCAGTTTTTTTATAAGTTCTGACAAAAGGCCTTCGAGGTCAAAGAATCTGAATCTGTATCTATTTCTCAATAGTGTGCAGTTCAATTCTCATCCAAGGAAAGCCTACCTCGTAGGTGTGTTATGAAACTTAATGAATAACTATTGTTTTTCTTGAAAAATTTCTCCTTGACGAAAGAATGAAATCCACAATTTTCTGTTACCCACTTATCTAGTAACTGGCAAAGTAGCGGCCTGCACAAAAGTAGTTTCACACTCATTATCAATACCAATTCGATTAATTCTAAGCATTGGAATTGGTTAAAATCGGCATTGGACATCTCTATTATGATTGAACGCTAACGGTTTTATTTGTAACGAATCATATGATTATATTTTGATTTGGTTAAGAGAACGTTCGTAGGAAGTGTCGCTCATTCCGAATACCATCCATATTGAGAAAGATAATATTATTCCGTAGCGCTGCAGATCATTGATGTTAGTATTGCGAAAGCACAACGGACATAATCTTGGCGCTATATTACCATTAAATAGTATGTGTAAAGAACGAAATATTTGCGTCAGTATTCGAAAAAAATGCGGAAGAAATTGAAAAAGCAGGCAACGCGACATTTATATGACACATTTTTTTTAGTGTACCAAGCTCGGATGATGGTTCTTGCTTTCCGATTCATACACTTGTTTGCGATCTGTATTCAGACTAACAGTCGAAGTTATTCAGGATAGAATGATCGCCATCCTTTGAAATCAGAATTGGCTGCTCTCATCCGATGGTTGGATACACAGCAAGATAAAATAGATACACTCATCAGACGTTCGATGCAATCTCATGTTATCTCTCTCGGTCAAGTACCAGCAAGTGCATTTTACTCCTATCTCTCTAGCATTGATAATTTCGCTCAAGTCAATATTATACGCTGTAAATTCCATATGAAGCCAACTTATCTAACAAATTTGGGTGGAATCAATTCAATCTGGTATATTGCTGGTGCGACATCGATCTATAACGCAACTACTACTGGATTTCGAGTCTATCTTACTCTTGGAGACAAGATTCAAACATCCACAGATTTGTTGGACTACGCAATTCAAAACTAGTGGGTCCTCAATTGACTGGAATTGGACACTCATTCAACTATTCTGAGCTGGCTTAAGATGCCAATAAAAATAACCTGACAGCGTTTTCATAACAGATCAAGTCACAGTTACAAGATGCGACCGTTAGTAGAGCGGTCAACGCACACTAAGCCACACAAATTTCTGATGCCAAACAATACAGTGTTTTACATTTTAGCTTATCTGAATTCATCAATAGTCTTCCGATCGGTGCAATATTTAAACCAATTCGAGTGCTGCTGCTCATAGAGATAAATTGTTGTCAACGCAGTCTCTAATAGGACTACATTAGCGTAGCTAATTTAATGCGACCAGGTTTGTCCTCCGATATTCCCATTTTTCTCCGGAGAGTCGACCAGCTGGACAAGATCGAAGGCGAAATGTCTGCAAACAGTGGTTGAGGATGTGGTGTGGGTATGAGTGAAGAGAAAGCTCACATCCTCAAGTTCAGTTAGAAACTATATTGGTGTCTGTGGCACACGATCGGGCATTTTTGAACTCATATGCACATCTGACAAGTACATGAGTCTCCTCGAATGCATTGATGGCCTTAAGTTCGTCATGGTCATACTAGGGTGGCTCCTGGAAGTCCAAGTGCAAAATGAATAGACATATACTTCTTTGCTTCCTTTGAATATTATTTCCTTCTATTCATCCTGATTTATTTCATAGAGGGGTCAACAAAAATTAATCATCAATATGAGTCTATTCCATAGAAAACCGTTGGATCCGATGATTCCCAGAATCAACAACACAGAGATTCCCATGCTGATCAAACAACAAGTCAACAGGACTGTTCAACTGAGTTGGTCCTACCACTGTTCCATAGCCATCCACAATGATGGTGACCTGTTTCCCTCCTTGAGGCCAACGCATCACTCGATGATTCAAAGAGTCTGCTACATAGACAGTACCCAACGCATCGACGAAGAGTCCTCGAGGAAAATACAAGTTTATCGCAGTATTCTTTGGAGCACCAGCAACCATAATCCCTTCGTGTTCCTCTTTACTCCATTTCATTACACGATTATTTTTGCTGTCCGACACGTACACAGTCTGTTGTTGGTCAACAAAGAGGCAAGTCGGAGAGTTGAGTTGATGAAGTCCAACACCCTTGCCATAGCCACCGGCCACGATAATTCCATTAATATCTCCCATTTGATATCGTCTGACTTCATGTTCGTCGTAGTCAGATACGTAAAGATATCTTTGATTATCCATGGCCAATCCCCGACAACTGATGTCGTCGAGGATGATTTCTCCGTGAGCTGTGCCGCTACGTCGAGACCATCGTACGACTCGCCGATTTCCTTGATCACAGATAATTAGACTATTCGTCTCATGGTCAATCAACACAACGCTTGGATATTTCAATTGATCCAATTGATTTCCTTCACCGTGACCACCAGCAACTACTTGTCCATTTATATCACCTACCTTCCATTGGATAATACGATGATTCCAGTTATCAGCAATGATCATCGTTTGATCATCAGCAAGAACCAAACCCATTGGATACCAGAGATTAGAGGTGAAATCACTTTGTATATCACCTCCAGCAACAGTCACTCCATTTCGTGCCCATCGGGCACTGACTGGAATGTTTGGAATCACTGAAATGAACGAAAAATGAAAATTCTGACAAGAGTAGCAACAGAATGAAAATAGCTAGATTATATCAACAAATGACTTCTAGAAAAAAGGATCGTTAAGTCTGTACTATTCACTTTTTCCCAAAGATGATGGCCGACCATCTATAATGAACAAGGATAACACAGTTTTTTTTCTAGTGAAACTACATGCCTCTTCGCCATGACAAAGAGAACATCGAAAGCCAACATCTCACAACAGATGCAAAGACTTGCATTACTTGAAATTTGACAACATCTCGTATGTCAATCATGGTTTTTTAGATAAAGCCTATGTTATCTCCCACTTTTTTCCAAGAATAGCTGTAATGGAGAAAACTCTAACAGCCAATATAATAACAATGTTTCAAGTTGCCACCTTAATGCTTCAAAAAGATTCCGACAGAATTGTGATATCTAATTTTCAGTTTATCTGAATTCTGACTTGGAATGGAATGAGAAATTCTTTAGAATACAGTACATTTTTATAGCATATAAAATCTAATGCCATGTTTGAAATCAAAGAAAACATTTGGTGTTAAGAGGCACCTTATGTAGTATTATCAAACGAAGAGAAAAATGGGATTACTATTACTTCATTTTTTCGGATGATAAAGATTGAATCATTCATGATATAAGACGGGTTATCATGTCAATGTAAACTTTAGATAGCTGTAAAGTAATATGACTTACAAATCAACTACATATACTAGATAAAAAAATTAGCAGTTGGCAAAGCCAAGTAGCGTTAATCACAAATTTACCTGACTGTTGCATAGTAGTTGTAGTTGTAATTGTGGTTACCATTGTAGTTACCGTCTCAGTTGTAGTTGCAACTGTAGTGTTCGCCGCTATTCATTATTATAGAAAATGTATGCAAATGAAGCATATAGTATTAGGTCTCACATAGAATAGGATGCAGAAATAGGAGCACTTAAGTTTTAGTTGAAGCTTAAACAACGTTGCAAAGTAGAGCGACAACCTCAAATGATCTGAAAAGCGGTTTTTTTTTGAAAAACTGATTTTTGATTGAAAACTTCTGTGTTCATCATAGATCGAAGTCGAGAAAAATTTTCGACAACCCGAATCAAGATGCACTAAACCGAATCTGCTTTCTTGATTTTGAGAAACTTTGGAAACAGAATAGAGACTTGTCAGACAGCCAAAAAATCGATTCGTCCGGAACAATAGAGATGACTTCTCTGATTACTATCACTAGTCTCGCGAAATTCATCAACGAGAATTAAAAGTAGAAAAATTCAATCGAAAATCAACTTATGCAAACGTTTGACGACAAATATGCAAGCTTGCCCTACTCAAAATCATCACTTTTGTCGTATTTTAAATACGAGTAAAGATTTCAATACACTGGCTGTCATTGTAGTACAAGATCGTTATTCCACGAATGAAATTTGTGATTTCAATCTCTGACATACATTGCACACCTACCAATGTCTTTATCACAGATCATTAGAATATTCTGTCATCAAATTAGCAGTTTAGTGAGATAAATGTAAAAAGCTAATGGAAAGAACCACATAATATTGTGGAGATAAACTGTTACAAACTTTGTCGGTGCTTTCGTTGCCAGACAATTTGAATTATTATATTCTTCAGTTAAGAAACAAATCTCAAATCTTTGATGCACTCAGGCATAGTCTTTAAAATAAGTAGCCGTGCCAAAAGTAACCCGTCAATATGCATTCTGAATTCATTAAAATCTTACTATTCATTCAATTCAATCGCTTAAAACTCCCTTGAGCTTTAGCAGTTACTGCGTCACACCTAGATGATCGATCTTCAATTTCGCATGTTCAGTCCTTAGAAACATGACAGAAAAAATCATAAATGTATTTTTCGTTCGCCCAAGCTTTCAATCACAGTTGCTTCGAAAAGAAGCCTATCGAATGAACTTGATATTCACAAGAATCAGTCGACTATACAATGAAAATTGTGAACGAATCGAATGACAAAATTTTCAATATGTTTCGAATTTTGATGTACATTCAAAAGTTCACTCAATCCTCATCTATTGCTAGATATAACTGCAACAGATTCTGTATTTCAGATTAATAGATATGGTCAACGGGAAGAGAGGAAAGCTTTTCTACAGTAATTACGATTCATTTTTATCTTTGTCGTGCTTTTTCTACTTTTTTCAAAGGCTCTTCGGCTTGTCAGCTCTTCCTCACTGCTCCTACACCGAAATGAATTGCATATATGATGGCTTGGGAACGATGAAGAAATAACTTTAAGAAAGATTCGACTTTTACTTAAATTTGTAGGTCATTGCTTGTTCTCTTACTTGCTATTGGTGGGCAGAGCCGTTGATTGAAACTTGGCACCGGATAACAAACCGGAAGATTATGACATCGAGGATGATGAACACATCTATGGTCAGGTTCACGACAAAAGTTGTTTGAGTGTTCGCATGTAACTAGCTTAGAACAATCCTCGAATTGCTCGCTACAAATGCCGATGTCAATAGCACCTGCTATATAGAAACATGCACACGCACTATTCAGCGAACATCGATCATATTGAGACATCTCACTGCAGTATTGAGATTTCACTCGAACTATCAATATACTAAATTAATAGCAAGGCATGTAAAACGAAACAAGAATCAAACCTGTGAGACTGAAAAGAAAGATCTTTCAACATTAGATGAATAGGAAAACAATAGATTTTAGAATTACCTGAATAGAACGAATACGAAACAACGAATTACTATCGAACCCATCGCTTGCGTTAAAGTGAGATAGAATAGTGGCGGTACCCATTTTTATATGTAATGAGTAGACAGTGATTTTTGTATTTGTCCAGAGTTAAGAAGCACATGTCATGATTCTTTGATAAAGAGAAATTCGATATTGCCCCAACGCTTGTTGAAATAATCAATTTTTCTTCAAAAAAAAACTTGTGAGTCATTGACTCACTATGTAACCACAACTTAAAAAAACTTCAAGGACAAAACTTTTTCTAAAAATATTTGTAATGATGACACGAATATTCGATATGCTTGTGTCATTATTCTAAATATGAATATTTTTGTTGCCCATCATTGACTCACTTATGTAATGACGACTTCGAATAACTTCAAAGCAAAATAAAAAAAAGAATATTTGTAGTTTTTATTTCTTTAGAATACATCAATTTTTTCAATAATCAATATTCAAAACTTCGTATCACATTTCGCATTCAAATGAACCTCTAATGCCATCAGGTCATTAACATAGTGCAAAACACAGCTTTTATGTAGATCATCGTTTTATTTCGTAGATTGTGTGTATGGAAAATTGTAATTCTCTGAGAAGTTAATCTTGACAGTAGCAAGTCAGAAAAGATTCTCTCAAACGCAATATGACACTGTTGGCATTAAGTCAACATCACCCAAGTTTTCAGTCTTCAATGTTAGCTTTAGTTTGTTAATAGGAAGCTCGGGAAAAGCAGACTTTTGGGAACCTTTTGTTTTCAAAACTTCAAACACTTGAAACAAAAACGTGTTTGAAGGCTTAGACACCATTCTTTGTCTTTCGAACTGCATGATGATTAAAATGAATCTAGTAATAGATATTAGGTGGTTTCATCTATCGAGCATCATCTTTTTCTTCTTATCATTGTTGTGACGTCATCATATATATGAGTCTTTTTAGTGTCTATTGTATTGTTTTCTTCACAAAAATCGTCGAAAAAAACTTAACAGATTGCTTTTAAAAAATGTCATCATCTGATAGAAAATACTTTAAAGTATGAGGAAAAGTAATTTCACATATTACCATGCTTTGCTTTTGTCTAACTCACTAGATAATGAGACATTTCTCTTTATTGTTTATTCACTTTCTTCAGGCATGAGTTACAGTCTTAATATCTGGAGAATATCTAGTACCATCCAGTTGTCATTTGTGGTAAAACATCAGCTCGTAACTGTTTTTAGTTTGTTGAGAAGGTGGGAAAAAGAAGAGACACAAACAAGGGAAAAAACAGATATTTCTGTATTTTTAAACTTCTATCGTCAGAAATAAGCTAGAGCTTTGATATGTAATTACAACATACGTTATGCCCACCAACAGGTATTTCTAGTAAAAAAATCAACTATTAACTCTTTGAAATTTGATCAGGAGATGAGCAGAAGGACATGGCACAAATTATCAGTCAACTATCCATGGATTCTATTAAAATCTAAATTATTTACAAACGAAAAAACCTAGGAATTTGTGATTTCCAGTAATGGATAGTACCTATATTGATAAATCTGTTTGTGTGAAAAAATTTGACTTAAAATGGTTATTAGCTTCACAATAAATTCAAAAGAGAATAGGGCACTTTTTCTGATGTGTTCTGTAATCACTGATAGACGTTCAGTTTCTATGACACTGAGGGTGTGGATCTTCACTTTACTGACAGCCACAACTCACACCAACATCTGAACTCTACAATTCAGCCATAGCCACAGCCACACCCTCATGCGTCTAAATAATAATCGTGCAATAATTCATTTTTAATTGAATAATTACGTAGACTCAATGGAAATCGTCTAATATAACGCAATCGATTATGTTTTTGGTTGGGAAAGGAACAATTTGCAAGTTATTGTATATATCTATTCGTTGGAGAGGAGATCATATTGTAGTATTTATAACAATTCGCCAATACGAGAGAAATGAGAAAGATATAGAAAAGATCATAAATTATATTTTCATCTATCATATTGTAATAAAAGCAAAGCAAATCAGCTATTTCTGATCATTTTTTCATCTTTCAATAAATTCTTCTATGTTTAACAACAAAAACTACGGAGTTCTATTTTTATCTGTCGATTTCACTTGAGACTAGCATTTTTTTGCTTTACAGAAATTTAATTTTATGATTTAATTATTTGAGTGTTATAAATATGTATGAATATCACATGATTTATCATCGCTCATTAGAAATTCTTTTTTTGTGATTCATAAGTTTGTTGCTATCCGATTACAATTATTTTTCTTCTTCTTAACCAGGCATTGTTCGCGTTTTTGTTCTCGTACATTGTCGATTTATGGTCATTTCTTATGATTCGATAACAATTTTAAAAGATAAATATACAATTAATTTGTTAGCCTTTCCCATGCATCATTAGCAACGATCAACTAGTTCAAAATGTTCATTGATAAGACATATATGATTTATACATAATAGTTCTTATTTTTTAGCGTAGTTCTACAATATTGGAACACTATGCCTATACCGACACTTGACCCATACTCGCCCACATCCACAGCCACACCTTCTCAATTTATTCTGAGTAATGTTTTTCTCAAAAAATTTCTCATCATCGACTCAAATAATTTTATCCATGTTATTAGTTCTTCAATCTGTAATTTTCAAACGTCTATCTATTATGATGATGATTATTATTCAAAATTAGAAGTTATAAATAGTTGAAGATTTGTGCGAGTTCACTATTTTCGTCAACCCCAAGCGTAGTTACTCAACAAGAGTTCAACAGCTTCACTATCTTCAATTACTAATCTTTTTATGATTTCTTGTATTGCTAACAATTCAAAAGTGTCGTATTCGTCGATAAAATCATATGATGCATATTTTGTGTAATAAGGAAAATATGTCCACAACATTTGTATGCAGGTCTTGCAATTAGAATTAATCGTTTTTCTTACTGCATAGATAATTTCACCGATGGTCGCGCGAGTTTTAGGTTCCATTGACCAGCCTTTTTCAATAGTATTTTTCAATATATCTGGTACCACTTTAACCGTTGGTTGAACAGCATGTACACTCCAATCTTTAGGACGTTCTCCTTTCATTGTGAATTTTGCTATTATTTGCGTATCTTTTAGACCAATAAATGGATGTGTAACTGTCAATAGTTCGTAAAGTATAAATGAAAGAGCATAAATGTCGGATTCAACTGATGGCGTATCTCCATCAGCTACTTCTGGTGCATCGTATCCAACAGTACCACCTGAATTTTTAACAGCTGTAGCCGATGCGGTTTGAATAAGAAAACTCACTCCGAAATCAGCTATTTTTGGTATGTAACCGTGTCCAGCAGAGTTTGGTTGAAGAAGAACATTTGCTGGCTTAAAATCTCTATGAACAATACCAGCTAGGTGCAATTCTCCAAGTCCTTTACAAATTCCAAGTGCAATGTCTAAACGTTCTTCGAATGTCAAATTCAGAATTGTGTTATTAAGCAATGCTGTAGCAAGACTTGGACCATCAACGAATTCCATTACAATAGAAATACCAAACTCTGGTAATTGAATACCTCCATATACTATCAGAATATTGGGTATATGACTTAACGGTCGAGCCAGAAATATTTCATGAATAATAGCGCCTTCTACATCAGAATCAAGTAAAGCTGGAACACGTGGACATTTGATAGCATAATTCTCCGCTTTGAATATATTGCAAAAAGCACCATGAGCAAATGGTCGTTGATTGTCTTTTACAATAATATTATTCAATGTTGTTGGCAGACAATATGCTTTAATTTTTTCCATGTTTGCTTGCAGTAGATTCATAACATATTGAGAGCTATCAGTATTGTTATGAAGATTACCATTACACAATGGGCAACGCTTAATTTTCTGAAAACATTCTTCACATACATAATGTTTTTCACTGAGTGCACACGATCGAACTGGGGTCTTCGTCAACTTTGAATGAAGAGAAAACTTAGTATAACAAATTGGACAGCGTAATTCATTTAATAATTGACAATAATCGAAATCTATGAGATTTACAAAGTCTGTATTTCTGTATTTTTTCACATAATTCTGGACCATATCTCTTGTGCAAATCATAAACCGAGTCTTGAGCCCATCGGTGGCGAAATTAAGGAACTGTCTAATCTTGATTTGATCATCAACGTTCAGCTTATTAATCCATTGATCTATTGAAACCTTGATCGCTTTCTGGTTGAGAGAGACTTTTGTTTCATGTACTCGGGCAACATTTGCAGATAGAAGAACTACATTGTGGTAACTGCAACCCATACAGGCTGCTTTGCTAGAACCCCACTCTTCAGTATTTGTGCGAACATCTAATAATGATCCATCTAAAATCTTGTAATAGTCAAAGGAATCACTTTGATTTAATTTTCTACCATTATATATAACGTTTGTAACTTTAGTGCATGGAATGGTCTGTTCAATTTTGAGTATAAGAGATTGGATTGTATCGTCTGTTTGTACATCTTGGACTATGCAAAACTTCGAACTACAGCTCCATCCACTCACTTTGACTTTCATCACTATCTGCTGAATATGTGATAGTTATGTACAGGGGTGATTAGAGTTTAAGGTAAAGTATATTTGTCTCAATCAGCGTCAGTTGACTAATGCAGCGTTATTGTACGCGTGGTCGTTGCTTGGAAGAAAAACTAAACACAACAAGTAAAATAAAAATGAAGCTTTAAAACATGCAATAAACTGATACGTGGCCAAATTTAAAAAAGCCAATCGCAAAGTAACTAAATAAAAAGAACGGAAGAAGAAAAAAGCCAACAGCTCCTTTCAACTTAAGCATTGTTGTGACATCAGCGACGATGGAAAAAAATACAATAAGAAAGAATTAAAAACTTCACTGGATGACACATTTCAGGATGTCCATGTCACCTGACAGATCATACTCAGCACCATCTATTAACATAGACTACTATTTTATTTTTGTTAAGGAAGGACATAATTAATAATTAGTTATTGGTAAATATCTTCTTAGTTACTCTAGCATATTCGTTTTTCTTTTAGTGATGTTTCGGCGGTCAATGCTGCCTACTTCAGAATTTATCGATGTTAAATGCAAACTTCTAGAGCACACACACATTATTTTTCTTTTTCTTTTTTTACCTTTTATGTTGTTGTTGTGATATTTATAGTGGGTTGGTGAGATGATAATAGCTGGCAGAAATGATATTATTTTGTTATCTTCTGTCGACCCACTACAAAAATCTCAACAAAAAAAACAGACACGAAAAAAAAGAAAAATAATGTGTTTGTTCCAGAATTTTTCGTTTAGCATCAAATAAAGCTCGAAGAAGATAGCATCGACTGTCGAAACGCCACTAAAAGCAAAATAACTATTTTACAGGAACTAGGAAGAGATTTACCAATAAGTAACTATTAATAGAATACTACTATCAAATTGTTGAGATTAAAACCAGCCAAACACAAATGGCATACTTTGTAAAATATTGTTTGCTTATAATATGACCCGAAGTGCTCTCGATAGAGTGTGGGGTGTGAGTCGGTGGGTGTGCGAATACAGGTGTGGATTCAGTTTTCCATCACATCCATATCCCACGCAAATGCTCATTGCGTTCGGACTCAATCACTGTAACCATCAAAGACATTGATGTGATATCGACAGTTGTTCAACGTGTTTTGCTTCAAGATCTTCGAAAATATTGAAGTTTGTTCCGTTTTTATCGGTCGTTTTTCGTTCAACAATCTAATTTCACCAATGAGATAATTAAAAACGTGCATTACTGAACTTTATCAATGCATCGGTGTAATTTGAAATGTTTATCTCAATGCAGTGACTCTTTCTGTGCCAAAGAGAAACGAGACCGTGTGATAAACACTGTTTGCTTATTGATTCAACTGACATATAACGGACGATTCGAATATAATATTATTGCTAATCAATGATCTGTTGCCTGTTTTGTGAAATCTGATTTTCTTTGAAACCTTTCGACATTGAACTATTTTGTTTGATATGGAAAAATCTTTTCGTCAATCAATCCAATTGCATGCCGAAACAATTGATAATTCGAGTGAAATCAAATCATTTCTTTTGGGACATAACTCAAAGAAAATCAACAAACGTGTCGTCAGCAGAATGATTCTAATTATTTTCTAGTTAGTAGCGCAGAAAACTGGATACTATGTCTTTTTCTTACACCGTATGGAACCTATTTAAATCAAAATTCGTAAACTTAATTTCCATTGAATTGTATCATCGCTGCAAATATATGGATGTGGGTGTGGGCGAGGATCAAACTCTTTTTTTAATCTACAATCACACTCAAAACCGCACTCCACCCCCACCCAACCCGCACAGAAACGGATATTCGTATCTATATCGGAACTCCAGAAAATTTATCAAAACCTCACCAGGGACTTCTTAGTCAATATGGGACTTTGAATCTGATACCTCCTGTTAAACCAAACATAGTTCAGCAATTCAGTTTTTTTAATCAAAGTTTTATAGAATCTTATGGATGCATAAACAGCTCGGTAACTTAAGTACGAGTGCTCTCATGTCCTAATCACTAATAGTATTATTCGAATTGCTATCGATTTTTCGAAAAACGCGTGTGATTTGGAAAAGTTGAATGAATAGTGTAGAATTTTAAAGAAGATTGATCATGGTGTTTGTTACATTGATCTATGCTGAAGAGAATATCTTCGCATGAACTATTTCGATTGAAATTGAGTTTGAATTTTTCGATGTTGTTCATCATGATCTTTATTGAAAGGTATCTTTTGCAGTGACGTCAATGGATATTCTGTAGAAATCGATATATCATTAATAATCCAAACACCGTCTTCCTCTTTGACTCGATCTTTTTATAATAAATATGTGTACGGTATGTAGAAGTAGCTATTGATTTCCTCAAAATAAGAAAATGGAAAAATTATTTTTTCTGATAATAAATATGTATATTGGTAAAGAAATCTTACCTAATCATGCTGCTAAGAATTCTTGGCAATAAAATGCTCTATTCGATCATTATAACCGACAATGACTACTGCATCCGTACCAGGTGATAATATTTCAGGATTGTTCATATCTGACATTGATAGAAAACTGTCATTATTTTTAACTTACATCATTGTCCAGAGCATCAATTTAATACCGATAACAAAAGGTGCCTTATTACCCAACAATGTTTTCATTGTAAGCAAATTTCGAGAAATTTCTGTTGGAACAACCGTAATTTCATTTGCGGCAGTGTATATTGCAGATGGTAGCTTTTGCTTGAGCAATTTCGATTCTAAATGACTAAAAGTTTTCTGTACATACACCAAATTTGCTGAAGCCTAAAGCAATGGCTCGTTTCGATGCACCATTATCAACTGCTGTTAAATTTCTATCTTAAATCATTTGACCATTGTAATAGATCAGTAGCCGAGAAATGCTAATGTTTTGATTAGTACAACGCATCAAAACATATTCACATGCACTTGCGAAAGCATCGGCAGTACTAAAAACAAAGAAAATTCTTCATTTACTTGCTTGTTATCTATTGAAGAAATTTCGATCCATGAAAATACTTATCATACTCTTGAAAGTTCTTGATTTTAAACAGATGCTATACATGGACGAAGATCAACATACGGTAGCAATCGTTCAAATGATAATTCATCGAGTTGCATTTGTTGATGACAATCGACTCTAACGTTAGAAGTTAACGATGAAAATGATCGTGATTATATTGATTTTGGTTTTGGTTTATTTGTTTTCCTTCCATGTGATGATGGTGTAAAAGATAAAACCATTGAGTTACTTTATCACGTATTTATTAAACGTCAACAACCGCTTGCAAAAGAAAAATTAATGAGAAAACCAGTAGAGCATGAAACTGCGTATGCATGCCTTCACGAAATTGAATCAAAGCAATTATCGACTATGTTAAATAAAACCTTTTCAATTTTTCAACTGATCAAGAAAAAGTCACGTTACAGTATTCGATCATTAATATTGAATTGAATGTTACTGCATAGAAAAACCATCGAAACTAAGAGTAGTGTATACAAAGAACTTCTTTAGGCCTCTCATATTAGTCGTTTCAGTGTAAATCAAATTGTACACAACATGAATGTCATTGGATCGATTTTGAGAGATGAACTTGAAAAACAATGAATCTTTTGAGTTACAACGGAGAATGTCAACTGCCAAGGTATTCACATAAAACATTGATTCTATTTCTCGATGTCTTTGTTTCTAAAAATGAGATGTCATGGATTTTTTTCTAGTATCTTAAATGAACACTCAATCTCAAAATAGATACAGTTTTTGTTAATATAAAACACTTTGAAAAATCTATAGCTATTGAAAATCTCATAATTATTTAAACCTTCCAAAGCTATATAACTCTTCCATAGCTAAACTAAGATGCAAAAGTAATTGTCGAAATCTCCAGTCACAATTTTCTACTTAGGAACAACTGGCAGAGTAATTTTTGTTGCTACTAAAAAGATCTATGTCTGAACTACAAAGTCTGTGTCAGCCATACTTTCCCAGTACAAATCAGAGAAAAAGGAAAAGCAAAAAGTCTAACAACCCTAAGAAAGTTCTTTCAATATTTTTTTAACTTGAAATATGTGTGTTTTTCGATTATTTTACGCTACATGGTGTAACCTTCATAAAAAAAAAATATGCCAAAATGTAGCGCATCAAAATCTCTATCGGTATCAATATTGTCAAAATTGTTTAGATTCATTCGTGACTGTTTAGTCGAAAAGATTTGAAAAATGAATCTTTTTTTAATGACCCTTTTCCCAAGAACTATCAGTCT